AGGCACCAGAGGAGCATGTGACCTATATTAGGAATCAAAGGTTTAAAGTACGTTTCCAAGCAAAGGAGAATATTCTTGGCAGCTAAGTCTGTGGAAATGCCATTCTACTATTCCAGATAGCCATGGTACTTTTATATCATTGGTGTAACAAGTACATATTAAAGGTATAGGCTATATATTCTGTACAGTAGCTATGAAATGCAGCTCCAGCTTTGAGCTAACAAAAGCACCCTGGAGGCCATTAATAACTTGTAGCACATGTTAACTCTTACATCCAAGACATACTTTCTGGATTGGAGTATGGTACCATTAGCCTTCTCCCATTTATGTCTTTCCCTGAGCTCCTCCTTTGTTTTGGCATCCATAACAAATCAGTCAATAAGTAGCTATCAATCAAAAAAACCCTTTTTTATATGACGTAAGGTTCAAGCTGAATAACAGCTATACCTCTGTAGATTCACCCCGTTCTGAGAGAAATAGATCCATTAAATAATAGATCTCAGACTAAAAACTAGTCTATTTGCTATATAACTCCTTTCAGGTGCTCATTTTTCTTTTTGCATGAACAAATAAACTAAATATATATATACATATATAAAACGTATATATCTATATCTATTTCTCGCTATATATCTGTCTATCAAAGTTCTTATATATATATTCCTTGCCGTATACTGGATACTATAAAATCCCACTTCTCCTTGGAGACCTGACTGCAGGGTGAATATGCAGGGACTGGTAGTGTTTTACGAAACCCGGCAAATATAGCTGCAATAACGATAGATCTAGAATGTCAACATCCAAAAGTTTTCTGGCCAGACTTTTAACCTTATACGACCTGCAGATATTTATTGTTCCTTAAAAAGATCCCTCAACGACTATCAACTTACGCTTTGCATTTATTCATATTTATTTATGTACTGCTATACAAGTGGAGAACATTTGTAAAGAAATCAACAAGGCAAAGAAGTTATATTAAATATTGAAAAAGAGAGAAGAAAGACAAAGAAAATCTCTTTTACAGGAAAAGTTCTTCCTATGAAATAAAAGACTTTTTAGAACTGTTTCTATTAGCACTGTAGCTGTGCTTCCTCTTCCACAATAGTCTTCAGTGGGACTAAGCCAGTGACATCATTGTCTTTTTATGGACACTGATTCTAGGCTGAAGTTCGTCATCCTGTCAACACCAGTGTGACCGTTTGCAGGGCAAGGACATGGCAGGACACCTGGGACATATTTGTGTATACAGCCTTTTCCTGCTGTCTGTCTGCCTCCCGCTGAAACTCAATCCCACCCACATTCCACTTAAAATCAGCAACGGGAGAAGGATGAGAGAAGGGAGGAGAAGGACATGAGGGCTGAAGGAAGAGGGAGAAGTGTCGATAAGAGAATACAATGACTTGAATGTATAGATTGGGGGTTTTAATGTTTGTTCTGTGAAGTGGGTTTTTAAAGGAGCAGGAGAAAAGAGTAATAAAGCCAAGTGGGGAGTGGAACTGCTTAAGAGGAATTAAGATGTAATTTAAGGAGCAGTCCTGATTTTCTCTGATTCTTAGCTATTTTACCTTGCCACAATAGAAATATTTTAAATATTTCACTCATTCCTTATCTCTATACTGCTGTCTTTTTGCATATAAATATACACATATATTTACATGTACATAGAACAAAAACAGTTCAAATTGAGTTTCTAGCACGAGTCATATATCTTTTTTCTCTCTAGAAACTAAACTAACTAAATAAATTCAGTTCAGATCTGCTATTTTCTTCCTTATCCTGATTTACGTATGACATTATGTCTTCATTAAACACCAAAACCAAATTCCTTCTATGTAAATACTGTTCGTCTTCTGATTAAAAGGCATCAAATGTTTTCCTTGTGTGGTCATCCTTGGCAAGAAGTGCAATCTGGACAGCACTCATTTTTCAAAACTGCAAATTTTCTATCGACAGGTATAATGTAAGTTTGTTCACTTTGTACATTAGTTCTATCTGATTTAGTTTTTACCTCCCTTATGTTACATTCTGGATTGGATGACCTTAGTGATTGTCACAGACCATGGATTCCTACAACCATAAAATTTAGGGTTGACTGATATTGTGACTCACATCTTTATTTTGCAAATAGATCCCTCTTTTACAAAAAGCTATGGCTAAATCGGAGGTCTGACACATAAGACCTTGATAGTCTGCATTCCACAGTCATGATTTTTATTCCCCCAGCTGTGGCTAAACTGTATTAACTAAGGTTGAATGTATCCTGGCAGTCTGCATCCAGAATGAATTGAAATGAATATAGTTGCAGATTTTCTGATGTGTTGGGATTATTTCACTATATTTTGAGTATGCATTTATAGATATGTTATTACTACTGTTTATTCTAAGCACGTTTACATATTGTAGTCCTAGAAAAGAAGGTCATAACATACTGTTCTAAAACTCTCATGATATATCCAGAGTAGTTAGTAAAACAAAGTATTTAAAAAATGTTTGAGAAAATATGACCCAGTTTTGCATTCTAAGAAAGGAGATGATGATCAAGGATTAAAAACCTAAGATGCTTTTCAAAGTCTACTGAAATATTGCTTTTTCTACATGAGGTAATAGAGTCATGGAAGTGCCAATATCTGCCTTTAATGAAATACTGTTGCCTAATACACTGTCTCCTTTTGAAGATTCAAAATCATATTACAAAAACTCATGCTCTTGAACCTTTCCTTATAGCAAATTTTATCTTCCTTAAACCACGTTGAAACAGAGAGGTTCAAAAATAGTAAATTTACTGTCAACTGCCTCAAAATTTCATTTTGGAAGTCTTACCATGGATACCTCCAGCGGTGACCCTCAGCAG